ATTTATTTCATGGTATTGTAACAAGCAAACGTTGAATACATTTTTCATTCGTGTAAGAAGAATTATTTAACACGATAAATTTAGCTGTACTATGGTTATTTTTAATCTACGACCACAGGTCAACCTGATTTTTAATCCCTACGAAATTAATTTAACCACGAGTAAGTAACGAGAACGCTAAAACCTATGTTTCCATTGAAGAATATTGTAAAAACGTATAAATTGTTATATGCAATGTTATAACAAATTGTCGGAAGTATAAATTTTTAATAAAATTGTGAAAATTGATAAATTATACCGTGTTACGATATCGGAAATCTCCCGCGAAAATCTCCCGCGAAAATTTCCCGCCTGACCTAACCGACGATTTTGCTAATGACTTTGGGGAGAGGGTACCGCAGGTATATAAGGACCCGCCGATGTCCCGCGAAATCATTTACCCTTTATACTGGGCCCTAGACACTTCGCGGCGTATTTTGACCTGAAGGTTCTGAGATGTGAATAGAGTGGTCGGGGGCTACTAGCTAGTCTATGTCCACCCTGTACACACTCAGCCTTCTTGTAACACTTGTATACATTAGAATCAATTAGAATTTCTATTACTAATTATTAAACAAATTTTAACAATTACCGGCACTCGCTAGGCACGTAATATCAGACTTTAAATACTCGACTTCGAACTTCGGTTTAGTCATAATTCTATTAATGTTATAATAACGTATAATTTATTAATTTTCACAATTTTATTATTAATTTATACTTCCAAAAATTTGTTAAAACATTACATATTATTATTTATACATTTTTGCAAGTTTCTTTGACAAATAAGTACGTTTCAACGATCTTATTACTTTCTCGTTGTGAAATCAAGTTCGGAGGATTAAAAATCAGGTTGACCCTTGGTCGTAAATTTAAAATAGCCATAGTGAAGGTGAAATTATTATTTTAAATAAATGTTTCTATACGAATTAAGAATCTATTCAACGTTTGTTTGTTGCAATACCGTGAAATAAATTGTATTATATATTTTCTCAGTTTAGACTGAATTTAAAGTTTGTAAGGATTAGAAATCAGGTTGACCTGTGGTCGTAGATTAAAAATAGCCATAGTGAAGGTAAAATTATTACGTTAAATAATTGTTTTTATACGAATTAAATATTGATTCAACGTTTATTTGTTGCAATACCGTGAAATAAATTGTATTATATATTTTTTCTGTTTACACTAAATTTAAAGTTCTGTTTACATGTTATAACAATTAGAATGTAGACGTTTTGCCGTTTCACGGTTTTTCCTCTGTTAATTATGTGTTTATAAATCATTTCAAACTAAAGCAGCACCATGCCCACCCTTAATTAAACCGTCTCAGTAGTTTACCGTAATTAATAATCTATTTTCGGAATTTATACGAGAATTTTTGAATTTTAGTAAATACTAGAGTCGTTGCATCGCGTATTGAAACAATAGCTTCATCCTTAGTTCGTTTATTTTAGAATATTTTCACGCGTTTAACTTATGCTTCTCCCTAATTCTCATCGCGTATTTTATACAAATTTTCTTATATTCTAGAATCGAAAAAGATACGAATTCGCGTTTTTTCTTTTGATTCTTCCAATTTTTCAATTGCATTACGCATTATTGCAATAATTTCTATCGTTACATTTAATTCTAATTGTTTAGCAGCTTTTCTGCTGCTATCGACCCTACATTTTACTGACACTTGTCGAATCGACCCTAAATTTTTTTTTTTTTACGTGGAGGTAGGCCGACTCTATGTGATAAACAATTGGCAACCAAACGGTGGCTCGCTAAAGCGATATATTATGAAATTAAATTAATCACTCAATAAGTTTTAACGTTAGATTGTTTCCTCGATATGGCCATGGTGGTCATCAGTGACTGGAGTGCCTCAAATGTTTAGAATAATTAAAATAAAATAAATGTTGTCAACTAAAAATTTTGAACGTCATAGCTAGCTAGACATTATTTTCAATTGAAAAAAAAAATTATAAAGCATAATACTATAATCCTATGCTTAAAATGTATTTTCTTGTGGCCGCCTGACAGCAACCTGTAAATCTGGCGCGACAGTGAACGTGTTAATAAGTAAATGTTGTTCAAATTATGTCGTGTTTTATGTCATTTTCATCAGAAAAATCTCAGCAACATGTTAAAAAACATTTTAGATGAAAAAAAGTAAAATTAAAGAAATTATATTTTTCTATTATGATTTGTCGAGCCGTGCAATCTCGTAAAGGAAACCGACTGGTGTAGCGTTACACGCTTGACTGACTGCGAGCGAAATAACATGGGCGCAGCAATGACGCAGACCTAGGCGTAGGACCATCTATACTGTCACTTGTAGAATCCAAACTTACTGACTCTTGTAGAGAATTTACTGTACCTGTTGATAACGAAAACTGAGAATCCTCTCTACTTTTCTTAACCCTTTGATAACTAAAGGAACTCATGTGCTCCACTTGAGCATTCGAAAAGAAATGCTACGGAAATATTGCAGATTTAAGTCTACCTGTTGATAACACATAATTTTAATAATAAAAGAACCTCCAAATAAACGAAAGAAAAGAAATTTTCTGATTTTTCGGAGGGAGTTTCCTTTTATTTCCTGAAAAAACCTTCATTTCTGGAGATGAACCCACGCGAAAGTCTTCAATTCTCGTCCGATAATTACCTTCGTAATCGGCCAAACTTTCCACGGAGCTGTTCCTGCGGATCCTTGGCACTGTCAGGTTGTTGTTCAAGTTTCCTGTGTCGTCGCTCGAGCTATCGATCTGCACATTCTCGCGGGTAATGGCGAGCGAGGACCACGTGGTCGTGTCCTCGGCGACGCGAAAATCGTCTGGATCCTCCGCGGCGAAATCGGCGCCGTTCCGATTCCTTCCGATCGGGCTGGTGTTCGTCGATGCGGTGGTATTCTCGTTACGATTCCCGATCTCCTCGGTGATCGGCTGGTTCTGGTCGCTCCTACGTAGCTGACTGCGAGTGAGACAGAGAAATGAGCCCAAGTGGATCGATACGTTCCGTTAGCCGCGGCCCGTACGATCTATGACGATGCAAATATAGTCAGCACACCTACGTAAGACGTCTGCGAGGTGGCACGAGTTACTGTCTTCACCCACACACCGAACAGAGTACCCTTTCATACGGCTGGCTAAAATTCGCGATCACGAGGGACTTTGATGCAGCCTTGCTGCGAAATTATTGATCCCTTGGATCGTGATGCGCGCTCCTTGCCGTCCTTTCTTTTCAATCAAACCACCACTGGCTGTTAAATATTTTCTTCTGTGCTTCAGTCGCGCGTTTCTTTTCTCAGCCAAGTCGTAGATGAAGAAGAATGGAAAATAGAATTTTTTTTTATTTCAGTGCTTGGAAGTGTAGAATTTGAAATTTCGAATATATTTGGGAAGAGTGTATTTCTTTTGGGAGATCAATTTTTCGATTGTGCTTTTATCTTTGATTGTTTTTTTTTTTAGTAGAAGGGACTGCAACTTATTTTCGTCATTTTGATGTTGTTTATGGAGAAGAAGATCGAGGAATGTTCCAGCAGTAATTTTAAATCAACTTGGGATATTTTTGCTTGCTTCTGTTTAGTTTCGCGTTTCTTCTGTTAGCGAAATCTTGTGTGGAGAGGAACGGAAAGAAGAATTTTTTCAGAGGGAAGCTCCGAATTGTAGAATTCGAAATTGTGTCGGCAGTATAATTGAAAAGACAGTGTATTTGTTTTTGGAGATCAATTTTTAAACAGTAGTTTAATTTTTGTTCGCTGTTTTAGTAGGATAGATCGTAAGTTACTTTCCTGATTCTTTTCACTTTCTTGTTTTTTAACTGAAAAAGATGTGTATGTATTAAAAATTTCCTTTCTTGACTAATGCATAATTAACATTTTTTAAATGTCCAACAAAGTTACACGAATTCGATTAGTAAGTTAAAGAAATATTCCAACGTTACTATCGATCACGATTGAAGTATTAATCTTTCTGATAACAGGTCCCCGTGTGTTTTAATTAAAAATGCCTATACAAAATACCGTCTCACTTTTACTGCAAATGAGTATTTGAAGAGTACTCTTAAATCGCAATGAAATATCGATCAAGATTGTAGTCGTTGAGTTTCTCATTAAATCGAAATATTAAATCCGTTACATAATTATGCAACGCCCGTGACCACGCATCTTTTCCAGTTCTTTTTTTCTTTTTCTTCAGTGAAAGAGATATTAAATTGCCGTGAAACGTTGATCCCACAAAATTACACGTTGGTAAGTCTCGTTAAATATCCCTTACTCTGTCTTGTTTAAGGATAAAGAATCGTTCGAATGTCGATATTAAATTGACACAGTCTGTCGAACTCTCTAATTAAAGTCGAACTTTAATTAAAAATCACGTGTAGGCTGATTCTTCTTCATCTCACTTTTAGAAGAAAATACTTACATATTGAACGAAAAAAATAAGTACTCTTGTGTTAAAAAAAAACAATATCATTCTTTAAATATTTTCAACTTATTTCTTACTTTACCGACGTTATCGTTAATTTTTTCTGTTTTGTATAAAGCTGCTGAACAATCTCATCGAAATCAATTGAAAAAGCGTTTCATATTTCCGTCTGCTATTTCACTTGCGAAATTTGTACTTTTGGAAAAGAAACTTCGTTCAAATTAGACAACATTCGTACCGCATTTAACTTTCAGCTTTGCTTGTTTGCTTCTTTTCGTAAAAAAAAAAAAAAAAAAAAAGAGCACAACGTGTATGAAACAGGGTAAAACACTCGTATGGAGAAATGCGCACACGTATCTATAGAGTTAAATTATGAGTGCAAAAGAACAGAATTCTCTCTACGAGATCAAACAGCAGGCGACGTTTATAAATTTGGATTCGAGAACGTCAAGCATCGCATAAAACATCGTTCAAGCTCGCTTCCGGCTCACAAAATTGACGATCAATCGAGAAATGATCGGTTTGGTGCATTAAATTGTGGTGCAGTAGTCTTATTTGTCACGACAGAATCATCAAGACACTGATATACGTAATGTACGTGTGGATGAAATCGAACATTCGTTGTCAAAACGAGAGGAAAAAGAAAAATCTTACTCATCCGGACGTGTGTCGCGTGTGTCGTAGAAATGAAAATACGCGCAATGATCAACGTGCACACGTAGTATTTTACTCGAGCACGATGGGAGGAGCGTGAATCTATGCGAAGCGAATCTGTTGTCTAGTGATAATAATACATCACAATCAAAGAAACAACAAAAACTGCTAATAATTTCTCGTGTAATCGCTCTCTAAGGGGATGTACGATCGCAGAAGTCGCAAGAATGGAGGATTTAAACGAACGAAAAAAGAAAAGAAATCTTAAGAGGGGACATGTTCAAGTGATAATCACCGATTTTGAGGAAACTTTGGTGTACAATAGTTCTCGAAAGAATATTAGACGCGTATTTTTTTTATATCAGAAATAGTCCACAGTGGAGGTATGGAAATCGCTATTAAAGATGAGAGTAATAAACATATTTGGTGAAAATTATTTATTATTCTTCATTTTCCAAATTTTTTTATTGAAAAATTGAGAATTTGCAAATTACACTATTTCTCTGTTTCTAATGATTCTGGAGACATCAGGCTAAATATATTCACCGCTCCCAACTTTGATTGTCCACATTGAAGGGATGAAAATTGTTTATTATTTTCTATTTTTCAAATTTTTTCGCTGAAAAATATTCCTCTGTCTCGAATAATTCTCGAGATATTAGGCTAAATGTATTTACTGCTCGCAACTTCGACAGCAATTTTCACCAATTACAAAAAATACGCGTGAAATTTGTTTTTCAGTGCCATCGCACACCAAAGTTTCGTCAATATCGGTGGTTATCACTTATCGACGTTCCCCTGTCGGTAGATCGCTAACAAGACACGTGTAACGATGTGATGGTTTTCTTTTTTCTTTGAGAGAGAAAAAAAAGAAAAATCGTGTCTTGAGGAGAAAAAAGGGGTAGCAAAAGTTCATGCGACAATCACTTGTTGCGGTCTGTGTGTGTATATATATGTGTGTATGTATGCACTTGTGTGTGCGTGTGCGCGTTGTTTGATGCGTTCGACAACGGGGCAAATATTTACAAATGAGAACATCGATAAATGAAAATCTGAACGGGATAATTGCTTCAGTCTGCTTTTTTTTTTTTTTTTTTTTTTTGGTTTTCTTAGTTTTAATTAACACCATAAGAAGCACGAATATACTTTGAATGCGTGAATCAAATAGAAAGAAAAGAATAAAGTAGAAATAATAAGAATGATTACGAACGTATATATATATACGGTAAACTGTATCAAAAGGGGAGACCGTTTAGAGTCAACACTAACCTTATGGTTTTTCCTTTTCAGTTAAATACCTTGGCATTGCTAATAATAAGGTACGGAATAAATAATCTACAATTTACACTAGTTAAGTAACATTTAAAGCTACTCGTTTGCTAGATTCTCGGTGAAAACTACTTGATTAAAACTGTGACAGCTAAATTATCGCTAAACTCTACTACCAAAGAATTATCAGGTAACTCTAACTTTAAACAAAGATAAAGCTATTTTACAAGAAGTATGCAATTCTCACGTGTATTAAATATTATACTAAGGTTTCGTATGGTATACTACTCGGGTAGATCTTTCAAAAATGTTTCACTAGACGAAAGAAACAAAGAGAAAAAAGAAAGAAACAACCGGTAATAATACACACTAAACGTGAACAGAAAATTAACGCAATCTCACGTATATTCTGGCAACGATAAGAAATTAAAACGACACAAACGACCACGTCAAACGAAGCGCAACACCATCAGAAGTATACATTCAAATTAAACAGAACGACCGACACCCCTTGAACAGAAACATTCCACTTGTTATCATACTCAGAAAGAAAACGAAAACGAGATCAAATATATAAAGAGAGAGCATTAGATAGACAGAGAAAAAGAAAGAAGAGATTCAATCGATCGTAGAAAGAAAAAAAATGGATGTAACAGAAAATATCCAGCTCTAGCCTGCGGGAAAGTAAGGTCACGAGAGGAAGCCACGTCATTCGCTTAGAAGAGAAAGAAAAGTTACAGTTAGAACAAAAAGAAACTCCTTTCCCAAACACAAAAACACTGGTTTCTTCACGGAGACACCACCCCCCTCTCTCTCTATCTTACCGTTCTCAGTAAAAATGCTCGAGGGTGAGAAAACGAAAGCAACCACGACGAACGGCCCACGAGAAACAACGTATCGAGTCTCTACAGAACGAGCTCAACAGACATCGACTGATAGGTTTTCTGTTTTCTTTTCTTTTTTGTCGTCGTATTTATCCGTTGGTCTACTTACTTGTTGTTCAATCCACCAGGACGAAGCGGTAACGAGACGACAGCCTCCCTGAGCCGCATGTTGGATCCTTGTCTGAAAAAAACACACAGAGGTTCGAACAGATGCTGGGTTAGTGTCAGCCCGGTTGAAAGGGCTCTTGCACTTGCACACAAAGTGTGTGTGAGAGCACAGAGACGTAAACGTACACGTAACACACACACACCCACACACGAGCACGATCCGCGTGGTGCTCATCGATCCCGCGGGATCATTTTCGCTTGGTTCCTGACGCACTGGGGCATGGAAGAGAGAGGGAGAGAGAGAAGAGACAACGGGAGAGAAGAAAAAAGGAAGAAGGAAAGAAAATGCGTGGTCGAATCGATGGTGAAGTGACCAACGGTTGTTTCTCTCCTCTGTCCTCCTCCTCTACCTGGTACGAGAACCGTCCAAGGAAAAAGGGAATGGGACTCACCGACCGCCATGTTGAAGCCGTGCGCAAGGGTGCTCGCGTTTCCCGTGGTTTATCGACTCGCAACCAACACCCTCGTTTCGCTCTCCTTTCGCTCTCCTACCCTCTCTCGCCCTCGTTCTATCTCTCCTCTCTCTTTCACACGGTCTATCCCTACCTATGGTCGCCTCTCTTTCTAACTCTGCCGTCACACTCTCTGCGCAACGTGTGCTCGAGCCGAAACTCTCCACGGATCCATCCCTCGTCTTTTCATTTTTACCCTTTCGCGTTTCACTGTCTTTCTGTTCTTTTTTTTTTTTTTTTGGTTTTCTCTTTCGATCGGTTCGAAAATGTCCCTCTGTTCGATTTTTTTCAACGTGATTTAGGCTGGTTCTCTTTCTTCTCGGGAGGGTTGGGGCTATTTTTCTCTTTTTTTTCTCCGGGGGATGTGTTCGAAAGGTTCGCGAGGCGCGATGAGAAAATGTTCGATCGATCGCGGTGCGTGTTGCTTGAAAGCCTGAGGGATGCATTTTCGCGGTCTTTTTTAGAGCGACGTTGAATTCGAGGGGATTCTGGGTCGACGGTTTCGACGGATGGTTTTGGACAATTGGAATTGAAACGGGGAAAATTATATTGTTTATTTAATCATAATATCTTTTGGTATATTAATTTAGTGGGTTGGAAGGTTTGCATTTTTAAAACAAGCCGTCTGGATATGGTTGTTTCAAGTTAAATATATTTCGCCTTCTACGTTCGGTTTCTCTGCATCCCAAGTTTTATTTTTATTTCAAAATCAATACTTAGCGGCGGGTGATTTGATTCATCGCACAGCGATTTGAATATTCTTTCTAGAGCTTCGGCATAAATTTCATATCTAATAATAGCTCTTGTAGAGTAGTTATAATCTACAGGGTGTTTCTCGAGTAAGCAGTTATTATTTTACCATGGCTATAAGAAAATTCGTCCAGTGTAAATTAGAAAATTTTAAATTAGAGGTTGTAGCATAGAAGAAGTGCAGCATTTAAAGTTAATGTTCAATTAATTTGAATAGCTGTGATAAAAAGTGCACGAGTTGCAATGTTTTCTCTTCATAGTTGTGCAAAATGAATAAAGAACGGAATATTCATGAATATTATCCTTTATCTGCGACTTTTTATCGTCACGCTAAATAAAAAATATTTAAAAAGTTGCGTTTTTAAATATTAACGACCACAAATTTTAGCGAAAGCTGAAATAAAGACAGTGAGCATAGATCTGCCTATAAACTTTTATTATCTGTAGATTTTAAAGCATAAATTCCTCCTTCGGTTGTAACGCTTTGCAACATGAATTTACTCGATCATTTTGTTCCCCGATTCGTTTAGTCTTAACCGACTTTGCTTTTTGCAGTGTTTATCTCGCAGTTTGGAAAATTTATGGCCGTGCAGCCTGTTGAAAAAAGCACGTAAAACACAACGTTCCTTTTTCCGATTGCTCCCTCGAGATTGAAACCGGCCGTGGATTACCTTGTGTATCCGTTTTACTCGTCTTGTACTTCACCTCTGTTATTTGACGCCTACTTAGTTCCTACGGCTTCTGTTTTCTCATCCGTTTACCTCGATTTTCAAAGCATTCTAAGGAAGTACTTAAGGGAACAGCTCGCAAAGAACGTCTCTTGATCCGCGTTTATTCGAGTCTCGCACAAAGCAACTCGCTTTCGAAATTAAATTGATTCGCGTCTATTTCAAAGCTGAGGCGATTATTTCTCTTCTTATGCAATCTCGTCGAATTTAATTAAGAAGAAAAAGAAATTTCTGGCCAAGTGCCAATTACAGAAATATATTTTTGCTAATTCAACAATAGCGAGAATTTAAAAATATTCGTGGTTATTTCACTGTTAAAATATAAGGTGAACAAATGTTACACAATATTGAGAATTTTATTTTGTATTTTTTATCTTAAATTTTAGTGATTTTTATTTTGATAGAGTCAAGTAAACAAGAAGACGTATTGGACGGTTGGACTGATTCAATTTTGTCGAGTAAAATTTACTATTAATACTATAAATAACATAGGGGAGGGAGATTGCTTGGATGCAGTAAGAAATTCGGTTTTCTCGACTTTCTCGTTAAATATGTACAAGCCAGGAGATTGTAAATTCCCACGGGGATGAGATTGGCAAGGCCAGGTTCGTGAAATTTTACTTGAAAGAAAATTGTAGGAAAGTCAATTTCCATTCGTCTTTCTTTTAAAACACTACGAAAGAACTTGATACTCATTGTCGATAAACACTGTGTTTTTACAATAATGTACAATATTGTAAAAAGAGAAGAAAGATATTTTTGAGTTATTCTATCGTCGTTGAATTTCTACGAAGGATAATTTCAATGTCGTTCGGTGTGATGTAACCAAACACACATTATTCTGACCTATTTGTCTGTCTGGAAAATATGGGGGATAACGATGGCACCAGAATCAGTCTGAAACCTCGAGCAATATTAAGCTTGCTGCAAGAGTGCCAAAGGTCGCTGACAACATAATTCTTATCATAGTTACCTCCACAATTGACCATTTGCTTGATCGTTATTGATTGACCCAATAAGATTTCCCTCTATGGAGTCCCAATAATAATTCTCTATATAGGGTATCCACTGGAACGCTTCCTACAGAAACACTTCTTATCTTAGAATGAAATATTTGTTTTCCAGAGTTTATTTTGCTGGTAAATATCTTCAAATGAAATTTCACAGAATAACGTGCTTCAATTATCCTCGCCACTTTCGCCAGTGGAGAGCAGAAGAACGCGTTTCGATACTTCACGAAGAACCGTCTCTCACAGAAGCGTTTTATGCAAATGAATTTTCGAAATTTCAGAAATTAAATTTCCTTTGTAAAAATTTCTATAAAAATTGTAACAAGAGATTTTTAGTAATTACTACTTATTTTTCCGTACATTTTGCTCGTATCCTCAGGGCTACGGTCTAATCTCCTATTTTCCATTTAGATGAGCGAAAAAAATTGTTCAGAAAGCTGCGTGCACAAAGCCAGTAATCGTTCCCTTTGATGCTGGCGTCGCTCGCGAATGAAATTCCTTCATTATCATTCGGACAGGCGAAAATGAGGGAAATGGAGGCTACAACCGAGAGGCGAATGCGGAAAAGAAAGGGGAACGAGGGTTGCATAGACGGAATAGCCATGACACCGGACTGTTTTCTCCGAGCGAGGGGAGAATTCGTGTCCTCTCTCTCCTTCTTCCCTCCTTTCTCTCTCGTTTTCACCCGCAGTCTCCCTTCTCTCTCGCTCTCTTGTTCTCTCTTTCACACTCACTCTCTGTCTCTCGGTCTCTCACACTCACTCACTGTCTTTCTCGCTCCTTTGTTCTCTCATACTCACTCTCGTTCTCTCTTTCTCTGATTCACTCACACACTCATTCTCCCTTTCTTTCTCTTACTCACACAGTCATTCTCTCTGTCTTTCTCTCACTCACTCGCTCACTTTTTCTCTCCCTTGTTCTCTCACACTCACTCTCGTTCTTTCTTTCTCTCCCTCGTTCTCTCACACTCACTCTCCCTTTCTTTCTCTCACTCACTCAGACACTCATTTTCTCTTTCTCTCACTCACTCTCTCTCTCCCCTTCTTTCTCTCACTCACTCTCTCTCTCCCCTTCTTTCTCTCACTCACTCAGACACTCATTTTCTCTTTCTCTCACTCACTCTCTCTCTCCCTTGTTCTCTCACACTCACTCTCGTTCTTTCTTTCTCTGACTCACTCAGACGCTCGTTCTCTCCTTCTTTCTCTCACTCGCTCTCGCGTGCTGTACGCCGTAGACAGAGTTACGCATCGATCGACCAACGAGTCCTTTCTATCCTTCCCGTTGGCGAGCTCCGCTAGGGCCGCATGCATACCGTGGTTCCCAGTTTAGAGAAGTATCGATACAGCGAACGGAATTATCGATAGGCACGCGAGAGTAAAAGCGGAAGGTGAACCGCAAATTTTGTTAAATGATAATGAAGCAAGCCAACGTTCACGACGGTGGTATGTAGCAGAGTTTAATGGATTCTGGAAAATTACGGATTCCTTCTTTCTTCAAGTTCGCTTTCTATTGTATCAGGAATGAAATGTCGTGTTCTCTTCGATTACCATCTAACGCAATCCTTTAGATTTCTCAACAGTGACTTAACAGGAATTCTATGAATTTCAAGTTCAGAATTTTTCTCTTCAATTTGTGAATGATTAGAAATTTCATATTTCATGGTAGCTTAGTACAAGCAGAATTTTCACAATTATTATAAAACTTGCTTTGTTACACAAACTTCTCGATCATTGTAAGAAAAATCTGGCAAGTCGTTTTAAACCGAGATTCACAAATGAAAATCATTGTGACAAAAACTGATTTTGCATTTAAAAAGAAATTTGAGAGTACAGTTCTCAAAAAATTCTTCAAATTCAAACAGAGGAACGTAAAATCTCGACGATCTATACTCTAAAAATTTCGTTAAATCAAAAATTTTTGCAATCTCAATCCAGGAACTTTCGTTACACCCTACACAAGCAATATAGATTCCGAAATAAATAGGAAATGATTGGAGCACCGAACGAATTACTGTAGATCAATTTCCTCTGTTGCGCGTATAAACTCGATCGTTAGTTAATAGCATTGTTTCGCCATGACCTACACTTTGATAATAATTTCCTGTTTTATTGTCGGCGTCATACAGACGAAGGGTTTAGATTTGGCTAGGTAATTCAATCTGATTCGATTCTGGTTACGCGTGCCCAATTAGATTTCGGTTTAGTCGATCGGTTGATCGATCGGCCATGATTTATGCCCGGGAGATTCTTTTCTTCGTTAAAATGTACTCCCCGTCGTGCGTCCGCATAAATATTGCGGCACCACTCGCATGAATAAAGCCAGAGAGTGCTTTTTCAGCGAATACCGACGACCAAGCTTTTCAATTAGGAAATGCATGTGGTGCAGAAATAATCAAAGAGGAAATGATTACGTTATGCAGATGAAAAAGGATATTACTGGTATTATTTTAATGTCAAAGAAGCACAGAGGATTCAAGAGTATTATAAATTTTCTGATTTTCTAAATTACAAAGAGGTACAGGAAATTAGGTACTTTTTTAATACTGAAAAATGTTAAAAAATAAATGACGTTACGTATTCCTTTAAAATTGTGTTTTATAAGATATTCAGGAATATTTCATGTCTATTTAGTAATTTAAATTATGAAGAATCGATTGTCTTTTAGGTTAGAAATTATTTAAAATTTAAGAATTAAAAATCACTAAACTTTGTGATTTTAGTCTTTTTTTTTGTATCGATAATGAGACAAGAATAATGGTTTTATTTGCAATACTTTGTTGAATTTGGAAATGTCACAATCTTGAACGAGATTCAACACAGATTTGACTTTCACGAAATTTTCTGCTTCATAGGCGGAATTTTTTGACATAAGCCAATCACTTCGATGCGATAGCTTGATCTTAATAGCTCCAGATTGCGTACTACATGACACTAGACTTCGTGGCGCCATCGCATCACCCAACACACTATACATTTCTCCCTGTGTCCGAGGTCGCAGACGATAAATTTTATTCCTGCGTTAAGCATCGCGTCATTTGTAACAATTTGCTTCAAACGTCGCGTCTTCGAATAATATAAGATAAGCAACTGCAAAAACCCCTATTGATTTTCAATCGTTTTTTCTAAAATCCTCAAGTTATCGACGCACCTAAAAACTCTAATTACAAATACCAGCAAAATTAGAACAAATATTAACAAACATTTTCTAAACAGCGAACTGTAAGCAAATTTAAATTTGTCAGAGTATCCTCGACTATTCTAACGGAAGAAAAAATAAAAAAACGAAGCTTATCGATCTAAAAAGCCTATCACAATAATATCCAAGCCTCTCTATCATCGTTCCACCTAATTCTCATCGATCCATCAATTTCCCGAATCGCGTATATGAGCTCTCCTATCTCCTAACTCTACGATCACTCAAAGCTTCTAATCTAACAAACACATCTATCCACTCTACGGGAACGTACGATACATTCCCTCGAATCTGGCATGCAATCAACCAACTCACTCGTTTTCCATTGGCTGCATCGTTTCCCGATCAACAAAATCCCCCGGCCAGGTAATCCTCCGTAAAAATATCCAGAATAAAACCTCTCCGAACCCCTCTCAAACAGTTTCACGAAAACGCGTCACTCGGCGTCCTTGCGTCACGTTACGCATCTTTGCCTCCCCCATGTCCTCGCCTATATCTCTGATGTGAACCCCATGGTTACACAGAGTCCACAAGGTATATATATATACGAGCAACCCTGTGATATCCACGGTCTGATCCGATTCTCACTCCTCTTACTTACCTGCTCTCTTTCTGACGATCAGGCGGCTATTTCCTCGCGTTTCCACAGAAAACCGAATCCTCAGCTTTCACGATGCCCTCGATGGTCGTGTCGCTGTCCTCGCATTCCACGACGAGATCCCACCAGAGAGGGACGCGTTTATTCGAAAATCGTATTACGATCTCTCTCTCTCTCTAATGATGTTTCTCCCTCGATCGATTGCTCGTCGAATTTTTTCGCTTCTTTTTTTCTCTCTATACTTCGCTTCCGTTATTCCTCGCTTTTGTCGTCCACTTTAGAGAGGCCACTACGCAAAGGCGGATAGGAATGATGATGGGTTTCGGTGCACGCGGGAACAACGGGAGGAGACTGCGAGAAACGGTGTCGGCGTTCGATCTCTCTCTCTCCCTCTCTGCTGGCCGCCGCCGCGCCGCCTCGTTTTCCACCCCCCAGGAACCAGGGTGGTGCATGCGCGTCGACAGGCGTCGGGGTTGCTGACGCCACTGTTCGAGGTGAACCGGAGTTTGTTTTCAAGCGGCTCGATAACCAAGCGTGCCAGCCAGTCAGCCAGCTTCTCTTTTCGATTCTTCTCTGGTCAAGCTGGAAAAATACCGCGACGTTACTCTGGTCTAGCTGGAAAAATACCACGATTTTTATCCACGCTGTTTTCCTTCCTTTCGGTTAACCACGCTCCCGTATCGGGTTTTTATTTTGTACTCGTAGGTGGTTCTCTGGTGGAGAAATTTTGATAAGTTTGGTATCGAGCCGTGGAAATGATATTTGGAGTAACGATTGTTTCCTTCCTGTTAGAGTGTTTTTTTTTTTTTAATTTTGGAAATTGTAGTCGATTTGATGGAAAGAATGTGGGTCAGCTTTGATTCGAGGTCTTGTTGGTTATTTTTCATGTTTTTAACAGAGGAAGCGTTTTTTCTTCTTTTGCATTCTTCTCTTCTAATTAAGGTTTTTGGATAGTATGATTGATCGTTGAATTTTTAGTTCTAATTGCTGCTGTTGGTGGGATTCTGTTTTTATTTGGATTAGTAGCTTGAGTGTTGCGAGTTTCGATGGGAGAATTGTTAATTAACATAAAATGTAGTTCGCAGGATGTGATTATTTGACTTGAGCTGGGAAACGTGGAATTAAACGATGGTATAATGTTTCGATTACACAGTGTGTAATTATGGCAATTAGTTGCACCGAATCATTGCGATTAATTAATGATCTTTCTCTAACAGGATACGGTTGTGTCTGAAATGTTTCTCATGTTGCTAGAATGAAATTTTGCAAATTTGCAAATTTCAATATATTTTTGTTGCAGTTATCGAATTAATTACTGCGTAATCGCGAATAAAAGATTTCTCCTCGTGTTTTAATGCATCGCCGAAGCTCGGATTTGTAATTAAAGAATTAATGTACATTGTTATTTTAAATTGTAATCGGAGATTAAAGGAGGCGAGGGAAATTAATTGAACTACATTCAGCTTTAACGAGAATTCTTCAACATTTTCTATCCTGATTTATAATTTAGGTTTCTGGTAAATAAGACATTTATGAGGAAAAAATTATGTAATGCCTTGGAGAATGTGAAATAATGAAAAAATTTAAGAGAATTTCTATTACGCTATTTATTTTTGCAAATTAATTCAAATTGAGGTATTTTTTAAATCAATTTACATTCATTTAGAAGAAGAATTTTTAGAAAAATGTAGAAAACTGAATTAATGTAAATGAAATTAATAACTTGTGAATAATTTAAATTAAATTAATTTAGAAAGATAAACTCAATTAGCTGGAGTATAATTTAGGTTTTCACGTGTCAAAATAGCACGGTTTTGCAACAAGCCGATGACCGAGAAACGAGTTTCTGTTATATTGCCACGTAATCGGGATACCACGCGAATATTTAAGGTATTACTCACGAGAGTCGATGTCGACACAATGCATCTTGCATGAAATGTCGAGTCGATAGTATTTATGTGATTCTCATTCAAATTTATCGTCTTCATTTGCCACCCTATAATTTATAGAATCCTCTTTTACATTGTCCATTAATTTTCACTTGTACATAAAACGTGGCGTTTTAAATTGCACGAATTTTTTTTTCTATTTACGACTTTAATTTCAAAAATTAAAAATATGATTTACTTGCGGTTATTATTTACGTATATAGCATTTGCCTGCAGTATTATTTAATACGAAATAGATATCAAACTCGTGCATAGCGACATCTTCAGATACGTAGTTTTTCTTTGCATAAAAATCGAGCTGCAACTTTGTTACAGCGAATAGCACGATAAGCGTTCGTTACTTTACAGTTCTCTAGATTCTAGGCTGTCTGTGCAGTAACGTTCCTTATCTACTGTGGCTGCGTTACCCTAGCGCTGCTGCTTTATCGACTGTGAGTTAGTTTCAGTAGAATAGCGACAGTCTTCGTCAGACCGTGGTTGGATATCGTTACCGTTCACAAAGCGTGAATATCCAAGTTGAAGGCACAATTTACGGGAATGAAATGTTTAAATTAAGCAGCCACATTTGCTAAACAAACATAAATGTTTGCGTTTAATATATAATATTATGATTTAAAAGTTAAATGTTTCAATTAAGCAGCCATATATACTACCGGCCAAAAGTTTGGAATCACCGAGCATTGCAATTTACACAAAAATTTCGAGAAAAAAGTCAGTGACTTTGAGAATTTTTATCGTTCGAATCAATCGATATGAGATAAATTGATAAATGTAGAATTGAGATAAACTTGAAATCTATGAAAAATTAGCAGCAGATTTAGTATTGATGAAAAGTGGGAGGTGATTCCAAACTTTTGGCCGGTAGTGTATGCTGCACAAAATCAATTTATTCTTGAGGGATAAACGTTTATATTTAATATATAAAAATGAATGTTGTGTAGGCATAATTTAAAAATTAATTAATATTCTTTTAAATGAATTACGTGGATATAATTTTCTACCTTTTAGAAGCAAAAATTCATCGAGAAATTTTTGTCTTCTCGCAATATTTGTATTTCTACCTTGTAAATGAAGTTTGTGCAATTAAAGCTTCATTAAACGAGATAACTGAATTGCGTCTACTAGATTTTCAATAATCTTTTATTATCGACGATTAATCTCGAAGTTGTACAGCATCAGATATGTCTGAAAAATTGAGTGGCGAACCGAATTCACGAGCGCGAAGAATAGCGAGCAGAAGCTTTTCACTTCCTGTCCTTTATCTCTAGCGATCTTTTTATCGACACGGTTGGCAGCTATTTTTCAGAGCTGCTCGATGAAGAAGATGAATCGCGTCGGAGCAACGAATACAGCTGGAAAAAGGAAGAGATTCGCGAAATCGATGGATCTTCTTTCGCGATTAATTGCAACGACCGGGACCGGAAATGCTACGCTTATACGTTGATTCTCAAAGATAGACACGACGCGAAAGATGAACGGTGTGCTAAAAAACATTTCAGCGAACAGATCTCTTTAGCTTTTGTTGGAAATCGTTCGAACGCAGCTAAACTGTTTCCAATTTTTTAATGAAATTAATGTGAGATTAACCAGTGATTTTCAGGACGAAGCTATGAATGGTTGGTATTCACTAGGTTGAATAGAATTGCTAGTTTAGTTTTGCTATAGCGCAGTTTATTTTAAACATTAGGTTTTTCATTAGGTCTTTATTATAGGATACAAAAGAATATATGAAATCTCTTTATACAGAGATTACAGTATGTTCGCCAAAAATCTAAAATTTTAAAAGTTAAAAATTTGTAATTTTAATGCTATTTAATATCTGTCTGAAACTTCCCCAAAGATTGCGCAAAACAGTCTACTCCCTATTTTCACCAGTTCATTAGCTCCTACCTTAAATTCAATCGCTAGAAGCTACGGTTCATTTCATCCACTCGAATCCCGATGAGAATTTCCGCCATAATCGACCGAGCACTAAAACATTTTACTTCTTATGCAAATCCCGCGTCGTAACAGAGACACTCGTTGCCTTCCATTATTACAGCTCCACGTAAAACAATCTCTTTTCCCCCCAGTGCAAAAATCAAGAATGCAGCCTCCATAATCTGCTCCCCCTCTTAACTCGAATCTCCCAAGAAAAGAAAACAACAATACCGAATGTGTGGCTGTTAGAACGATTTATCGTACAAGAGATAAAACTCTCTCGTTAAAACCACGGAAGATGTAAAACGAAACATCGTTTCGTTTTCCTATGCACACTCGTATAGATCGCATAATTCACCATTTGGTCGAGGTCCTTCGGCCAGGTCGGAACACGCAGCCGTGACGATAAGGAGGGCAATAATGTACAGCAACGACCCCACGTCGACGAAAACGTTCTCCACGGTTGAATCAAAGTGACGAGGGGGTGTGTGTGGAGGGGACACGGTATAGGTTCGATCTAGATCTAGAGAAGTCGAGGGGTGCGCGTTAATAAACTCGACGGTGGCCGTCTCCTTATCGCGCGTTCACATCGTGGTTTAAGTGGCGAATTAAGGTCGCCAGACCGGTGATCTAGGACGATCGCCAATGCCGCACTTGATCTTCTGCTGGACACGCTCGTTAGAAACTGGATAAGATCGCGAGGGGAATTATGCGACTTTACAGTGACACACGTGCCGCCGGGAACGACTTTTCGATAGTCAAATTTAGGTCTGAGAAGCGAACTTCTGAGAAGCAGGTTTCACATTTGTAGCGATATGGATTTAATGTAGAAATTCGTTTCTTCCAATAGTGAAGCAAAGAGAAATGAGCATTATCAGTTGGAAAGAACAGAAGGTGGATGATGGATCTTCC